AAATTTCTTTCTAATTCATCTGTTCTTGGAAGCTTTCAATACCTGCAGGAAAGACAGACATGTAGAATATTGGTTACAGATAAAGAATATTGGATAATACAGTTTAAAAGATAAAGTGAATATTTTTACCTGCAACTTTTACGGAGTTGATCAGGGATATGCTTTCATTATGATTCAGAGTTAGTCAGGTAAGGGAGAGGGTGTCAAGGATGTGAGTTTTCTCACCTGTTTGACAGCCAAATGCATTCATATACTTCTGGGAGTAAATGCAGGTTTTTTTTTTTTTTAAGACGGTAACATAGAAAACACTAATTGTGTCAGTATTACATGCATTCTCTTTTCAAACTCCAAATGTGAGATCCTGTGACTGCCTTGTGGAAGAAAATGGTTTCTGTAATTCATAGATATAGAAAAAGAAAGAGCAGATAAGTAGGATAAAGGAGGTTTGGTTCTCCTTCTATGTGAAGTGTTGGGGAGACTGGGACCAGAATATGCATACAGTTTTTTTAAGAATGCTGGAAAAAATCTGAGGAAGCGCGGAAACAGTTATGAGTTATTAAGAGTGATGAAAATACTTCTTAGAGATATTTAAAGCTCACTTTACATGCCTTAACTAGCTTTTTTTTTAAATACCTTCTGTACCAGAAAATTATGATACCCTTCTTGTCTTAGGGATGAAAAACACTTGGGACTACTTCCCCCCTGCTCCCCACTGTGCCATACACTCCATATTTTTTGTTCAGATCCAGATAAATTTGATGGAATACTTAAATGAATTTGTCCTTGTGAGGTTTCCAGGGTCATGGAATATTTTTTTTGCAGAGGAAGTTATGAAACTCAGTTGCCTCCTCCTTCAACTACAAAACTTCTAGGTATGTAAGGGAAGATTTCTCAGTATTTCAGCTCTTGGAAAAAAGGCAAGATTTTGTTCAGATATTCAGAATGCTTTAGACAAACTTATTTCTTTAATTTATATTTTTTTTTGTCATTGCTTCTATGAATTAGACTCTGCTCCAACAAAGTGGTGCCATCTGGGTAGGTCACAAGCAGTTCTGGGAGTCACAAATAAGGCCAGCCTGCCTGCCTCTGTGGCAGTCGACATCACTTTGTTCTGGAGTTAGGTGTATGCCATAGTGGTGATTTGTTTGAGTAGCGTTGTAGATCTAGGTCGTGCACTCCTTGATCCCAGAAAGCTGCTTCTCTTTTTTTCCAGTATGTGAGAAGCAAGGGAGTTTAGAGGATAGGGGAGAACAAAAGGTAATGGAGAGGAGAGTGAAGGGTTCCAGAGTTCAGGTTTCAGCGAGCAAGGACTGGGATCCTGTCGGAGGACTCGGCACATAACTGAGCAGGAGACTGCAGTTGTCCTAAATCTGGGTCTGTAAGTTAGAATGGCTTGAGATTTACATGCAGGATTGTGGTCAAGGGAATGGATCGTTTCTGAATGCTCAAGCTGTGGTGCTAGGTTGTGAACACGCGTATGTATGCATCTACACTTAACCTTCAACATTGTGTTACTTCTGGAAAAACAGTGGGGTTTTTTGTGGGAGAGGACGAGTTTGTTGGGCAAGTAAGATGGATTGGGTCTAGATTCTGAGGCTTTCTATGTTACAGCCTGTAGTTTGCTGGCTCTAGGAAGTGGACTCCTTAGCGCAGTATTTGTAGAAGAGGAAGTATGCCACCAAAGTGGCTTAGCTCTACATCAGTGATTAAGGCATTGCCAGGGAAAGGCTGGATCTACCTGTTAGTGCACTGTGCATTTTAGGAGACACTCTCCCCTGTTTCATTTAATCTAGCTCTGGTAATCTAAAAAGCTTTTCTGCTTTCTGACAGCTGCTAATGATCCTTTGAGGAATTCAGGTGACTATAGCACCCTTTTGAAAGAATGGAGGTGTGTGTGTATAAACATCTTTAGCCTGATAAGTGAATAGGAAGCCTGTTCCCGTACCTTGATTGTTTAATCGCTGGTGTGTTGCATCTCAGACTGGTCAGCTTTGCAGAACTGTGTCTTGTCAGCAGGTATTGGGTGTGTTTTGAACATGCCTACTAAACCGAGCTGCTGAAAGAAAATAGAGCAATACCTACTTTTAAGGTTGGGTTAGCTTGGAAGAAGGGCCTGAGAGAGGCTATTGTGTATCTCAGGAACTTGATTGCCTAAGGGCTTCTCCTAAATTGGTCTGTATGTTCAGATGCCTAAATGCTGCCAATTTTAGGCATGTAGGCAAATAAACACATGGCTCCTCCTCTTATTTTAAGATATTTTGTATATAGGTAGAAGTTAACGTCTCCTGTAAACCAAATGTGACATCCAAACTTTCAGTAAATGGTGAAAGCTTTCACTGTATTGATCCAATAAGTCTTTCCCAGGGCAGAAGAATAACTGCACGGTGTATCTTTCAAGAACAATGGAATATGAGATGAGATACTTTTGATGTGAGAGAAGTGTGTTGCACCCAGCTTTAAAGATTTTGCATGCTGTGAACACCAATTTTAAAAAATAAAACATTTGGATTCAGAGAGTTTGACTCTTGCGTAGACATTGGTTTTGAACAATACTGGTATTTTAGAGAACAAACTAAAATTAAGAATTAGGCAGTTATGTTATATCTTTACCTTTTTTGTTTCAGCCACTTGTATTACTGTGTTTGAGGGCAGATTTCTCTGTTGCTGTGCTGATTTATTAACCTAACTTGGTTTCTGCTCTGCAAGTTCAAATGTGGCTGCTTATTGTCAGCTCCCTCTGGCAGTCTGCTAACCAGCCATGTTATAATCAGTGGACACTTAAGAATTGTCAGAGCTTGCTTGAATAAACATGACTTGCCGGTTGACTTAAATTAGTCAGCCAGTTAATATCCTTACTAAGAAAATTAATTGTCAGTCCCCTTTTTCTTGTGTTAGTTGCAGAGACTTTTTTTTGGCAAAGATGGTAGAGAGTTTTAGCCTTTCTAAGGATTGCAGGAGTAGTGTAGTTTATAACGTATTGACCATTTCAGCTTCTGTTGTTTAATGCAGGATGGGCAGGTTTGGACAAATACCTGAAAATATTTTGAAGTGAGATTGTCTGTAATCAAACTACATAGTGCTTCATGGATAAATGAGAAAAAAAAAATCCTCTGATGCCTGCTATTTTTTCTGGAAAGGTTCAACTGCATTGTATCCCAGGCCTGTAGAAATAAGCAGTATCACTGTACTGCAGCTGATGATGGACATGTTTGGAGCTCTGCAATGTTCATGGGACTGGGCTATGGTTGGAGAGATTTCATGTGTGGGAAGCGAAGTGTAAAGAAGACGTGACTACGATTACATGTTTTAAGGGGTATTTAGAGCCAGATACAATGTTGTGAGTTACAGCACAACATTTTTGTAACAAATGGTTTCCTAGAATTGGCTAAAGATAGAGTGAAGCTGACAACATTAGATAAAAGACTCCGTATGTTATAATTTACTTAAATGTTGCAGTTTCAACCAGTTGAATAGTAAATATTTGCCTTTTAATTTTAAGCACTGCAAGTGTCTTCACTGTTGCTGTCAATTCACCTTAGAATGAAACAGTAGTATTTTAGATTCTTGTGGCAGATGTTCTATGTGAGTGTAATTTTGTTTGGTTTATTCCAACCTCAATTTTCTTCTGTATTGGGCTGAAAGAGAAAGTGATTATTTTTCTTTTCCTGGAGTTTGCATTTTTTCTGTGGCCTTGAATCTTCCACCATCATTACACTACTCAGCTTCTGTGTTTTTAGTTTGGGTTTTTTTGGGGTGGGTGGGGGGTGAGGTGGGGTGGGGTGAGTGGGGGTGGGTGTGTGTTCATGTGGGGAAGATCAGGCAGAAAGTATTTGGATTTATTCCACAGAAATTTTACTGAAGTGCAGATTGCTAGGAAATGTTTTCAGAATTGCCATCCTGGCAATTGTATACCAAATTCTTGTAGGATGCTATGTGTCTGAACCTCTTAAGACTAGCTTCTACTAGAAGCTGTAGTGTTACAATAGGTAGCTTTCTTATACTTGCGTCTTCATTAAAGCTTTTAAGGGATCATATGATTTCTAGGAGTGCAGTTGCAAGAAAAATATTTTTTTTCCCTGCATTTTATTTTTCATGATTTATGTTAGGTAGGCAGTAACAGTTAGTTTCCTGTCTGTCAGTCCTAGGAAAATGACCGCTTCAACAGTGATGTTAGTTTAAAAAACAAAGGAGAAAAAACCAAACCCAGACTTGCTTGGACTCCTTGACAGCTGGCTGTCATCTTTTAGACAGTCCACATACTGCAACTACCAGCCTTACTAATGGCTATTCCACTTAAAGCTGCATAAAGCAACTGCCAATAAATGGTGGTTTTGCATATGCATACTCTCTTTTCAAGAGTAGTGAAGATTGGTTTAACAGCTAGGAAAGAAAAAAGCTTACTTATTTTTCTGAAGTTCAGAAAACTCTGTGTTAATGGTTGCAAACTTAATGTCTCCTTTTCAGTCTGGTAAGTTTCAAGAACAGAAAAGCTACTATGTTAATTCCATATCTAGTAGAGATTGAAAGTTATTTAGAGTGATATGAAAAAGCCACTGAACATCTGAAATACTGAACTTCTAATTGCATTTGTACAAGCAACAGCCTTTGGACATGAATGCTTGTGTTAGTGTTGTGGTTTAACCCCGGCTGGCAACTAAGCCCCACGCAGCCACTCACTCACTCCCCCCACAGTGGGATGGGGGAGAGAGTCATAAGGGTAAAAGTGAGAAAGCTCATGTGTTAGTAAAGACAATTGAATAGGTAAAGCAAAAGCCATGCATGTAAGGAATTCATTCCCTGCTTCCCATGGGCAGGCAGGTGTTCAGCCATCTCCAGGAGAGCAGGGCTCTATCACGTGTAATGGCTACTTGGGAAGACAAACAACATCACTCTGAACATTCCCCTCTTCCTTCTTCTTCCTGCTGCTTATATACTGAGCATGACGTCCTATGGTATGGAATAGCCCTTTGGCCAGCTGGGGTCAGCTGTCCTGGCTGTGCCCCTTCCCAGCTTCTTGTGCCCCTCGCAGAGCTGAGACGTCCTTCACTGGTGTAAGCACCGCTCAGCAACAGCTAAACCATCGGTGTGTTACCAACATTCTTCTCATACTAAATCCAAAACACAGCACTATACCAGCTACTAGGAAGAAAATTAACTCTATCCCAGCAGAAACCAGGACAGTTAATTTATTAATAGGTGATACTACTTTATTAAATCCTCTCTTCATTACAATATCAGCAGGTTTTTCCTCACTGTTTTTCAAGTTGCATTGTACTACTTATCCCACGTTTTCTTGGTAAAAGCATTAAGATCCATTAACAGGGCGTACAGCTATACTAATAGGAGCCATGTGTGGGCAATTGCCTTGTATGGCTGTGCCTGAGCATACTACCTATTGTAAAAAGAATAAAGCCTTCTCTCTGGGACTTGGGACTTCTGTTTTAGAAGGTGTGGTTTGGTTAATTGTACTTTTCTTGTCACAGAGAGAAGCTGGCTGGGGCTGGCTGAATTGTGCTGCATTAACTGAAGGTTTTTCCATTACACTGCTTGCAAATGGTTTTTGCAAGCTGACATATATGTAGTGTCAGAGCTATGTACAGAAGTGTATCACATTAAAAAAAGTCATGTGACATCTGGACTCGATTTTTTTTAAAGTTTTTTTAATAAAGTCTGTTATTTACTACAAACATGTTGAGATGGGGGTAAGATAGGTGTTTGTCAGTATTATTTAATGCACATGAAAACTGAAGAATTCAGAGAAATGGGAAATCCTTTGCTGAAAAAATGTATCTGTTAGGGAAGAGGGAAATTCTAAAGACATTATTGTTTAATGCAATCTCTCTGTCTTTTTCTTTTGTCCATTATCTTATGTAGCAATGGGTCAAGAAGCTGGCAAACCAGCCTGGCCCAAACCAGCAGGAGGATACCAAACTATTACGGGTAGAAGATACGGAAGAAGACATGCCTATGTTGGTTTTAGACCATCTTTGAATAGCCAAGAGAGAGATGAACATCAACACAATGAAGACTGCGAACGATTAGAATTGGAGAATATTCAGAAAGAGAATTCTTTATGTATGTGCATATCTTTGTGTATGTGCCATTTAAATACAAACTGGGATGTGTGGAGGTGGGGGAAGAAGGCACATAGAGAAATGTGAAGGGAAGAGAGTAGCCAATTAAATAACTCATGTAAAGTACATTTCTTACGGCTTTAGAGAAAGAAACTTGGTATGAAGGCAAATTATAGTCTATCTTAGACTGTCTAATTTTGCCTGAAGGAGTGCATTCCTGGGTGAGTTAATGCATTTTAACCAAGTCAATAGCCGTAACACTGTATAATTAAAATTATTTTGTTTTCAAATTAAGTTACAAATCACATTTGGAAGAGAATACCTCTTCTAACCTTCTATTTGGGACTGAGCTGTGGAATATTTGAAATATCATGGCCCAGGTTATTCTGCCTTTGTCAACCTTAGTGTAATTACAGTAGAAATTGGTTTAAGCCTATAAAACATGTTTAAACATTCTCTTTTCATATGTTTGTACCAGTCAGACCACTTCCCTTCCTTGTTTAATGAATTTTGAATGTTAGTATTTCCCAAAATGTCTTTTGTGACTTTAACATCTGAATAATATTTTCATAGAGAAATACAAAAAGGCTTATGGGATTAGAAACATAGTCTTATCTCCTTGAGCATATGAGGTTTTCTGCTAAAAAAAAGTTTGATATAGCCTCAGATCTTCCAAAGTAGCATTTCTCCTTTCTTTATAGACTATATTGTAACTGCTTTCTCCTTCTAATTTTTTTTTTTTGCAATAACATAGTGTTAATTTAACTTTGTCATATGACAATGTTCTTGGAGGCTGTTATATGATGTGTAGATCATCTTGGGGTGGTTTTATTTTTTTGTAACTCGAATCTTTTTTGCAGTTGTCTGTGCTTCATATATTTTCTATGCTTTCATCTAGTTAAAGGTTGATTTCCTGTAAGGCCATGTTGACACTTGTGGAGATCTTTCTCTTGTGTCTCTATAATGCTACCACCTTTCTTGTTTCAGTTACTCCAAAATAAGCATGCTATTATTTTAGGGGTCATAAGAAACAGGCAGTTTAGAGTGTATTGTCTCCTTGTTCTTAATACAACTGTTTTCTAAGAGTGACTCACTTTCTATATAAAATCTAATAACAAAATGCCTTTCCTTTTATGTTTGGACTTTTTTTGTGTATGTGTTACGGCTTTTCAAATTTCTCTTTGAGTAATGTTTTGGATTGATTCATTTCCCTTGCCTCTATGAGGCTACATTTTTCCCCAGTCAATACTTATTTTTGGATGGGTGGGTACTACCTAAAATATGCTGCATATTTCCTTTCTAACTGGCTTGACATCTTACGTACATCTAAGCAACTGTGGAAGATGGGTAGAAGGAGATACCCTTGAAAATATGACTGGACTTGATCCTGGGTAACCTGCTATAGGTGACTCTGCTTTAGCAAGAGGGGTGGACTGGATGACATCCAGAGGGGCCTGTCTGCCAATCTCAGCTGTTAGCAATTTTGTGAAGGAGTCTCAAGATTTTAATTGGATAAAATGTAATGTTACAGTACTGCTTCCTGCAAGCCAGACTTCTAGAGCTGAGAGGCACAGCTCTCATACGAGTTCAGTGCCATGAATTCACCAACCTAGGCATGGATTAGCTATTTAGATAAGATCCTTTTTTCTTTTTTAAGTTTTTTAGCTCTGGAACACTGATTTTATGTGGTTTCCTACCTCTACTGGTTTTTAAAATAACTTGCTAGGGAATCCCTTTAATGAATCATGTGTGTCTCACTTTTTCTGGTCTTGTAGTTAAGTTTCCAAATCTCTTAATATTGACTTAAAAACTTTAAGTGCTCTTATCAAGTTATGCAAGCCGCTGTGTATTCAAAAATAGTTTGGACTCTTGCCTTGGTTAGGAGTTTACAAATGACTTGAACTAAGCAGCAGTATATGTGTTTTTATGTACTTTAACTCCTGCTGCTGGGTTTGATATTTATTGTCCTTTTATGCAAGAAGTGTTCAAGTGTAATATAACCAAACTGAATTTGCAATGATGGTAACTACTAACTGTAACTCCACATTCATCCCTGCTATTATTTTCATCTTATGAGGAGTTGCACTCACAGCTGCATGTGCAAAATATAGTGCTATTAGTATGTAATTTATAGTAGCAATAAATGGCTTTATGTGACTGTGGCAGAAAGCACAATTTAGCTAGTTAATGAATGGATAGTCCAATTTTTAACTTATGGAAAAAAATGTTGCAGCTCTTTTAATCTTCTAGGGTTTTTTTTCAGATTTCCTGTTCTCATCTTAAATTTCTCTTTTTATATAATCAATGTAAAAATGCTTCTTATGAACATGTTCCTTATTTTCTTGCTGTCACAGGCTGAGCTGAAATTGTATCACTTAAGTCTATTCTGTATGTTTAGTTTATATAAATGAGAAGTTAATATATTAGTAAAGAATGACTGTATCTCTGGTAAACGTTTCTCTTTACCAAATTGCACTGCAGTCCTAGTGAACTACCTTTCTTTTTCATGAGCAGTTGTTGTAGATGAGAATATTTCTATTATTGTTGATTATTGCAATGCGTTCTTTCTTACAACTTTCTGTGAAGGTTCCAGTACACTGGTTCAAGTTTCTTCTGGTTTATTGGATGAGCCTTTGTTAGAAAATATTGGAACTGGAGAACCTGTTTGCCAAAGTGTATCGAGCCAAACTTTTGAAACAAACACATCACCATTTTCTCTGTTCTCTTATGGTCTGGAAGGCAACAAAATCTCAGGGAACTTTATGAATCCTTATGAAAATTCTGAGGACCTTGCAGAAGATGCATCTGGAGGGCATAAGGATTTGAAGGGTCAGAATGGAATTGCTTTTGTAAACATTGACTCTTACGAGCCAGATAGCAGTGATGGAGAGGAAGGTGATGCTCAAGACAAATTTTCTTTGACAAGAGAAGAAGCAGGTGTATTTCAGGAAACGCTAGATAACATGCTTTCTGAGTTAGAAAAAGGCGTAGAGTCTTTTACTGACCTACAGTCCCAGTTGTCTGTTCTCAACCGCAGTGTCTCTAGAGAACGTTGCGAAGAAGCAGGATCAATGCCTTTAATGAGATATTTTAGCATAGACTCAGACTTGGCTTGTCCAAACAACAGGACATTTAAATGTGCTGAAGATCAAGATATACCAAAAAGTAACCAGAGTGGTGCCACTTGTGAAACACAGCAGATAAAAAATGTACTGGATGTTGGAATTGGAACCCCTATAGCAATTGTTAATGAATTGAATGTCAATGATATCAAGACTGCCCAGGGAAATTCACGTGAGCTGGTAGTGAGACCTAAAATAAGAAAACAAAATACTGCAAACCAGTTGGAGAGAGAGAAGCTTCTCCCTAATGATGATGAACAGGAAAGTGGCTCCTGGAGGAGAAGTGAAATTGCTGAAGTCATGCAAGGCCGTGCTGAGTGTGCCTTGAGAAATAGCAAAGGAGAGATGAGTTCTAGTATGTTCTTTGACTCAAGAGAGTATGAAGGTCATCGAAAGAACACAGAAATAGACCTAAGGAAAAATGCAGCAGCTCAAGAACAAAAAAACACGCTAGGTGATAGCACTTTTTGGGATGAGTTTGAAGACTGCAGCAGACCCTTCTCAGTGTCCCACAAAGATGAAGACAGGTAAAATTTCATTTTTATATCTGTATTAGAATTGAATATTTTGTGTAAACAATATGCAAATCTGAATAATTTGTTAGCAAATGAGACTAGAATTGAATATTTTGTGTAAACAATATGCAAATCTGAATAATTTGTTAGCAAATGCGACATAAAAACTCGAGCAATTTCCAAATATGATCAGAAAACAAGATGCCAACTTTTCCTTTCCATTGTCCTTCACCATTCCTCAAATCCATCTAAAGAAATGGTAATGTACATTCTTCTGGTAATACAAAAAGCCTTTCCTTATTTTTAGGGTCAAAGTGTCTTACTGCTAAGGAAGATGGCTTGTTTATTTTTATTTTACTTTTACTGAGCAGATGGAGGGTAGAGAGTGAAAACCTTGTTCAGCATGGGTTTTGGCAAAATGTGGGTCTTTGAAAGTTCCCTTCAAGACTTGGTATTTTCAGATTTTTTTTTTTTGCCATCAAATCTCAATATTCTGCATGACAGCCTATGCATGTTCTTGTCTCCAGCCTTTTGAAAAATTATTCTTCCATGTCATATCTGAAGAATAATTTGATAGGATTGCTTATCTGTTTTTAAATGAGCGTTCTTTAGACTAGGAGGTGTTTCCAGAGTAACTATTAATGAATACAGTTTCAGATCCACAAATGGCTCCAACCTGGACACCAGGAGCAGTATTCAGGCTCCTCCTGTTTTGGGCTGTCTACCCAGAAGACAGACTAATTTGGATAAACCTTACGTTGATTAACTTTTACTCATATAATGCTGGTTAAGAACTTTTGACTGTGAATTGGAGTTATGTAACTGAGCTATTCTGAGGGTAAAACCTGTTCATTTATGGTAAATGCAGTAGTGCTTGTGATGTCTCTTGTTTGATTTCCTCCCCCCCCCATTTTTCTTCCAGTTTGTTTTCATCTTGTTGCTTCCATTCCCACTGCATTCTTTACAAGATATGTCTTCTGGATGTTGATGTGGCTTTTTTCTGTGTGTGCTTGCCATTAGGCTTCATAAGCTAACCTGTTTACTAGATTGTGTTTCCACTGCTTTTGTGGAGAGAACAGCATGAAAATTAGTCTGCATAAACTCTTGTCCTTAAAATATTGCAGTCCCAATTATGAGAGAATAAAATCCTTAAGGCATTGTAATATGCATTAGTAGACTTAATATTTTTTTCTTATTAAAGATATAGGTGGACTTGCAAATGAATCCTTTCCTTCCTTGTAAGGCTTACTTTTCAAAATTTTTTGTTACTACATGATCTTTTCTGCTTCTGCAATGCTGCTACTAGATTAAAATGCGATGGAGGAAATGGACTGTATTTTACAATTATAGCATTGGCTTCCATGATGCAAAGTAATGGATTGTTGCAGCATGATAAAAAGAAATACAGATTGCATATCTGGAAGTGGCTATGTTCATCATGATGGCAGTAACTGAACCACTAAACAGGAAACATATGTTCTTTAACTTAAAAAATACCCCTACATAATTTGTGTTCTAAAGCCTCAAAAGACTTACCCGTATGAAGCAAATTGTCAATGATTACTCTGTACAAAGGAGCAAATGTTTTCCACTCAAAAGGTAAAGTTTTATGTTTAAAGTATCAATCCATATTACATGCTTAAAAATACATATATAGCTGCATAAAAAAAGCAGAATTGGCATATGTGTCAAACTACATCCTGTGACTCAACTTTCACTTCTTTTCCAACCTAGGGAGAAATTCACCTTGCTGATTGCTGCAGCCTGGGCCTTCACCTCACTTTTTTGCTTCAAGGAAGTGCCCAGCTATTAGGGTGTTAGCATGTAGAAACTGTGTGAGAAGGAGAAAGTTTTGTATATTTCTTAGAACCGCATATGCTCTGAGTTGGAAAGGTCATGGTAGGTTCCCAGAGGGCAGGGGTGGTGGGGGAAGTATTATATCCTTTAGCTTCCTTCATTTAGTTTTGGATCGTATGGCAAGTACAGGCCAGTTCAGCCAGGGGAGAAACTAATCTTAGAAAATCTGTGTGCAAATGCTAAGTTAATGTGTTATGCTTTTGGCAGGTGACAAGTCTATAACTCTGTAACTATTAAGTGACATGCTGCTTCTCTGCAGAATTGGGCACAGTTAAATCCTAAGTTTTGAAATATACACATTCAGTGTTCTTCTGTTCAGTATTAATGACTTTAGGCACATCCTCTTTTCTGGTTTGAATTAGTGTTTGTGTATAAACTTTAAAGAGAAAAAAATTGGCTGACAACATAGGAATATTGTTATAAACTGTGTTGGAAATAGTTTCTGGATTGTAAAATAGAGAAAACTAAAATAAGATACTTGAATATTTGGGCTAGTTTTACAGTGTGCTCAATTAACTTTTTTAAAGCAAAAACAAACAAAACAAAAGGTTCTAAAATGTTAGTATTCAGCTTTAGATGGTGTAACATGAGATGCCTTAGACCAAGAATTTCTTAGCACATATGATTTCTATTGTAAAGTAGTCCTTTAAAATATTAAATATTAAAAATATTAAAAACAATATTTAAAAACATTAATGAATATTCTTACTCCCTAGTCCTCACTTTCCCTAGTCCTCAGAATTGTGATAGAAAAATACATTGCTGCTCCAAATTAAAATGTTTTTATATAATGTGTCCTGATCATCTTTATTCATGTGCAGCTTCCAGTGTATAGTGTGCCAGTTATCAGAAGTACTTGTAGTTCATTAAATAGCAAATTTAATTGGCTTGTGCTTGTAATACTGTATAGAAAGAGGGTTTATTTGAAATGAGTTTGTAGGTGGGGAGATAACATCGATGCGCATAGACATACTGGGTTTAGCAGACACCTGCAGGTGTTGTGGATTGTGGTGTAAGATGCGCTCTATTAAGCTTGTTTGCTGTTCACATATTTATTAGTTTTCTGTAACTTTTTGAAGTGACAGCTAGTTCACTATACTTTGAATTTTGGTAAGTGTCGACTGTCACTGTTAGTATTGAATAAACATTCTAAATGGCATTACCAAAGGTAGCAGTAGATATGTTCATCCTTCTTGAGATTCTGCTAACATCACTATTTTGTTTAAGCTGCCAACAACTTGTTATTTACTGCCCTTTTCTATGTGGTGTCTGAGCACATTCTCTTTGAAAAACTCCCTGCCATTCATATGTTCAGGCTAGCGAATTAGATAATTTGCAGTAAGTCATCCATTGCGTCTTTGTATGATGGAAAAAAAAAAGGACCATCAAATATGGGTTAGAGGTTACGAAAGCTTTTACTTGAAGTTTTGTTTGGCTGAGAGATAAGGCTGACATCACTTATTGTTTATTAAGCAAGCACTGGTGTTCCCAGTGTCACTGCTGCTGTTTTCTTGTGTGCTAGGAGAAAGATGTGTATAATGGGTCTGGGCTTATATTCCTGAGTTGTTTCATGTACTCTGCAAATGTGGAGGGGGAAGAACAAAAGCTTTCTGCAAAGTGGAATGGACAGAATTCTTTCTTAGGAGGTGATTTTTTTTTTTTTTTTTAAAAGCTCTTTATGTATACTTGCCTTACTATACATCTATAAATAGCACAAAACTAATTTCTCCTGGAAAAAATAGTCTATATTGAGAGCAATGTTCACAGAAAAGTAGGAAATCACAGAATGTTTGTGTTTGTTTTCTTTCCCATAAAGCAGTGTTTAAATTCACACCCTGTTGCCTTGTTAAATTGCAGCTCAGAATGCAGTGATGGCGAATGGTCTACAGCTGTACCTGCCTATTTTACGGCTACGGAAAAAGACCAGTCCTCAAGTGATGAGAGCTGGGAGACTGTCCCAGGCAGGGAGGAATGTGAGCCTGAAGTGCAGAGCAGCAGCAGTGGCATAGAAGAGGAGAACACAAACTTCTGTTTCCAAGGAGGGTATGTTTTTGATTTATTAGCTAACTTCCTCTGAGTTCTGACATCAGCAGTAACGCTGCATCCACATGACACTGCACAGAATAAC